ATTTTTCTTAGTTCATTTACTGCATTAAATAAACCTGTTTGAAAATCTGCAAATAAGGAACATTTTTCTGTGTTCCAAATTGTATGTTACAGAGTTGTCTTAAATCTGCACAAATGCTGAGTGCCATTTAAAATCTTTAAATGGCCCATATATGCCATATTTGGTAGGATATATGTGATCTTGGGAATGGTGATTATGAAGAAAAATCTATTTTCCTCTTGGCTTTAATTAAGACAATGTGCATACCCACACAACTAAAATATTTAGAACTGTATAAACCCGAGAGGTACTATGAATTATCCCTGGAGACAGATGGTGCTGCAGTTTCTGTGTTCTATAGCTCCTCCTGGTTTGAGCTGTTGTCCCATGAGGTGGGAACAGCTGTCAAGGGCTTTGCTTATTTTCCTGAAAGTGAGAAGGCCCCAGCCTGGACACAGAATTGGTCTGTATGGAGTATTTCACCATTTGTAGTTTTTCAAGATGATTTACTGACTTAGTGATTCCATTTTGATACACTTCCATATAACCAAATTAGTATAAGGGAGTACTCCAGAGTTACCATGTTTTTTTTTTTTTAAGAAAAGAAGATACCATAATGTTTTTGTCTTATGTTCCAGCTAGCACTACGAGATGCCCTTTTGAAAAAGAAAAAAAGATTGAAGTAACCTCCAAGCAAGTTTTCCATTCCAAGAAGGATGATAAATGTGTCATTATTTTGAAAATTAGTAAATCAAGAATGTTTACATTAAAAAGTCCCAAAGGACTGTATTGTGAAAAACACAGTAAACTTGGTAGCAGTTTGTTTTTATTTTGGAGATAGGTAATGGTGGGAATGTTTGAAATGTAAACAGTAGTGTGATGTAGTCATTTTCACATTCATACAAAAAGAAATATTGTTCAGTGCCTACTAATTGTCACTGTAGATGTAAAAGTGAAAGAGCCATAATCCCTCACTTAAAACATTCACAGCCTGTTTGGGGCAGGGTGGAGGCAGATGTGTAAGTATGTATTTACAGTGCAGTGTAAATAGTTCTCCAGCAGAGGTAGGTCCATATTTCTATGGGGTCCCAGAAGCCTTACAAACTAACTTTGCAGGGGATAGGAGTTACATATTCTCTTAAAATAAAACAGGACAATGTTACAAGAGTAAGAAGTTCTTACTTGTAAATAGGCTTACCTGCTGAAAACAGGTCCCTGCTGTACAGATTTTGGGTAGACACTTTAGCTTTTTAGTCCACCCAAAAGATTTAAATATTTTTTTGAATGCCAAGTACAAGCTTTTGATTAAGATCTCACTTTTTAAATTGCCTTAAGTATAACTAGTAATCTTAGGATGTCTTTTAGGTCATCAGTTAGGCTGCCCATTCCTCTGCAGAAGAAGAAGAAATCAGATTAGTTTCCTCAGCCTTCCTTCACGCTGTAATATTTTCAGCCCACTGTTTGCTTTGTCTCAATAAAAGGTTTTTAATGTCAAATAGGTATCTTGTGTGTATGGAGTGGCTGTGTTCATCTCCCTTCCCTAGTCATGTTGAATAGATTTCATGGGACACAAGAGTCTCTCTGTTTGAAAGTCATTCCATTTGGAAATAGTTTGTGCCTTTTGCCTCCACTTTCTTAGGTATTGTGGTAGATGAGCAAACTGATCTGTTACTTTAGAGTAAAAGGTAATTTTCTGCCCCCTCAGAAAGTAGCTTCTAAAACCACTTTTCTTACTCCCTTTCCAGTATCTTTGTTCACTATCTAAGTTCAACTCCTGTTTTGAGTGAAACTTTATGACTTTCCCCAAGATGTTGCAAATCACTGGGGATTAACTGTGAAAAGCTGGAAGTTTAATAATAATTGAGCTGTACTGGCCTTGTTGGCTTCTGAATCAGACCCAGCAACTTCAGTGTTTGACTGGAAGTCCTATGCAAATTTGAATGTTTCAGACCTGAAATTGCTCAGTTTTCTTTTTACATGTTTGAGCTGTGTGTCTCATGTGCCTTAGACCACAGATAGGTAAGTAACATTCAAAATGGCACAGCAACTTTGGTCCACAACTTTGTTGCATGGATTGTGCTGGTGCCAGGAAGTTTCATTCTTCCCCTAGACTTTCCCACCCCACTTAGAGGTGAAGAGGCCAAAGTCCATTCTGTGTTTTGATTTCTGTTCTACTGTGGCTTCACTCTGCTCTAAACTGAGGTTTATATGCAAGATAGAAAAATATCTGGCTTAAAAAGTACAGTCTTAACTGTTTTATTACTTTAATACCATGGTATCTTGTTTCTGTCTGATCCCTTTTAATATTGTGTAAGTTTTCTCTTGAAAATATTTTCTGTTTACTATGAATTTGAAGATCAGATCCTCACAAGGTTGGATGTTGCCAGCAAAGGCAGACTGACCTTTCAGGGTGACTTTTACCTGGAAGTTGACAGGGTCTGAGCTTCAGCTTTTCAGGCTCAAATTTTTGTCAACACTGAGAATGGATCCATTTCAGTGATGAACTCACATTGTGCAAGCTCATGATACATAGAAAGTGATGTATAAATTGAGAATACTGATCTGTCATGTATAGGATCTTAGCAAGTTCCACTAGAAAATAAGCTCCACAAAAGGCAGAGAGTCTGTCCTCTGCTGTCCCCAGTGCTTGTTCAGCATCCAGTAGGTAGGTACTCAGTGAATGCTTGGGTACACGATTAAATCCCGCGGTTTGCTCTCAATGTAATAAATACCTCATTGTTGTGAGAATTTGTCACAAAGTAAGCATTCAGTAAATTTCTCATCGAAGATTAGGTAGATGCCTATTAAGTTTTTATTTTTTGCTTAATTTACTTGGGATGAAACAACACACTTATCACAAATATTTATTTTACTCTTCATCCAGTTGGGGGGAAACTAATTTGAAATACAAAACTGTACATTGAATGTTTCCTGTGGACTATGCACACTTCAAACTATTTTAGGTAAACACATGTTTAAACTGTTCTACCAAGTGGTAATACAGTTCTTTATGTACATTTTCTACCTTTTTAGCACCTAATAATAACATGTCTGGATGTACCACTGTTTATCCACCCACCTATTAAAGGACATCTTGGTGGCTTTCAAGTTTGGCATTTATGAATAAAGCTGCTGCAAACCATGTGCAGGTTTTTGTGTGGAC